ATCTGAAAGAACATATGTAGGATTCATTTCCACCTCATGTTTGCAATGAGGAAAGGTCCGGGCGAGGAAAGCTTTTGATGGTCCTGAAATTGCCATTTATGATGACTTTTGAAACTATTTTATAAGCTAGAAGATTTTTACTTGAGATAAGACAGAAATATCCCAGAAATGTACTACAAATCTGCTGTAAATGGAAATTTCAGGACCATCGAAAGCTTTCCTCGCCCGGATCTTTCCTCATTGCAAACATGAGGCGGAAATGATTCCTACATATGTTCTTTCAGATGTCTTGAAATGCACCACGAAGTCCCCTGAAATATCAACTCTTTGCCGTACTGAAATGTAACCATAGTGAGTCATTTCAGGTTCATTTCAAGCTACATGAAATTTATCATTTTCTTGCATTGCAAATGGCTATGAAAGTGGTAGCAAATCTATCATTTGGGAGCACCAGAAAGCTACGGTTAAGTCCCCGAAAATGAAACAGTTCTGATGGCTTGGCCGGGACATTTCAGGTGATCTGAAATCAGCTTATGCCTATAGTGTTCGGCCTTTCCATGTGTCAGTGCATTTGATTCGAAGTACATCAGCTTGAAAAGATCAAAACGCAAGGTTTCGGCAATGGCTCGTCCCTTGCGTTTTAGGTATAATATTGATGACTATCAACGGAAGCGCCAGTGGCCCAGAACTGGTAGGCATGACTTGAGGTGAGAGCTGGTTCCAAAATTGCTTCCATCGTGCATGCGATCTGTATTTCGTGCGTTATAAAAGGTCAGCTAGCACTCACCCTTTTTCGTCATTCCATCCACAATGTCTGACAACGAGTCGATACATTTCTCCACAGATGAAGCAATTCTCCTATCTCCTGGTCGAGAATGCTTTTCACCCAAGCATCCGCGTCTGCGGGCTCTAAACACGATCATTACCAATGAAGGCACGCTCGCCGAAGCAGCTTCCAGTGGGATATTCTCTGTGCATCCAGACGATCTCATCCTCTATTACGGCGTGAATGGTCCCAACTCCAAGTGCGCACTCTGCCCCTCACCAACTGTCACGTACTATCGCTTATCCTATATTTTCACAGGCCAGATCGTATCGACTTCATGTCTCACACAGACGGCGAGATTCAGCGCCTATTCCAAGCATGCGAGCCTGCGACTTTCGGGTGCAACCAGCAGGACGTCTTTAACAAATCCTATCGCAAGGCAGGCAAGCTCGACAGGAGAAGCTTTGCGTCAACATTCGACCCCGATCGCTCGGGCCTGATGCGATCCATCAGCGATGTTCTTCTCCAGGGGCATGGCCCGAGAACCATGCTGCGAACAGAACTCCACAAGCTGAATGTCTATGACAAGTCCCGCAGCAGTGACTATCAGGCCCAGGCGCTCACTCATTTGTCTCTTTATTAGGCCCTGGATTGTTCTTCAAGGCCCACAAGGACACAATGCGGGCTGAGAATATGATGAGATCCCTCGTCGTCATGCTTCCCACGCAGCACAAAGGCGGCACCTTCGTTTTGCACCACCATGGGCAAGAGCTCAAGTTCGACTCATCCGAGGCATTCTCGCAAGTTTCTTCTACTTCTGTCGCCTTCTCTGCTTTCTACGGTGACGTAGAGCACAAAGTGGAGCCGGTGCAGTCGGGATATTGGGTCACGCTCACCTACAACCTCTACATGGTCAGTTCGAAGAACAAGGGCGCCCCTGAGAGCACACCATTTGAGGAGGCCCTGAAGGAAGCCTTCAACGCACTCCTAAACGATGCCAACTATCTGTCTGGCAGTGGACACATTGGGTTCGGTCTGCGGCACGAGTATGTGGTGTATGATGACCCATTCGTGTTCCAGGAGTCGCTGAATGCTTTCTTCGATTTGCTCAGCGGAGCGCTCAAGGGCAAGGACGCGGTGCTGGCCAAGGTGTGCCGGGACCTTGGTCTCAAGGTGACGCTGCAGATGATCTACCACGGCGACTGGGAAATGATCGTGATGTGCCCGTGGGTCGCCGGTTCAGAATGTTACGAAGACGAGTACCCGTTGGACCACCTGCACAAGTTCTACTATGGGAAGGTCATCAGCGTCAACCGCGAATGGCACGACAGCGAGAACATTCTGAAACGGGATCTTGCCGTGTGATGGGCGATGGAGCTGCAGCCTGCAGACGTGCCGAGGTGAAGCGCACCTTATGTGTCCTATGGCAATGAGGCATCCTGTCAGGATCCTACAATCCAACTGGACTGGGCTATAACAAGAGTGAGGAGACAGACAAGAGGAAAGTGGGTGAGTAAAGACCAGCTTGAGTCTGGCTTGTTATTGAGCAGTACGAGCTCCTTATATACATGCCAGACTGAATATTTAGAATATCCTACAAATATACGGAGCTGTATAGAAAATGAGAGAATACTATAGAATCCGGGAGAACCATCTGGAATATGTAATATTCATGACATTACCCCCCCGTCTAGAATTGTGTCCTCACGATCATTTACCAGTGGATCCAAAGCCTCCCATACCACGCTGAGTTTCCATTAAACTTGACACCTCCTCAATATTGCATGACGCAATGCGTTCCAAAACAACTTGAGCGATCCGATCGCCGGCGCGTATCTGGAATGGTTGATTGGTGATATTAATCATTACTACGCATACTTCTCCGGTGTAATCTCGGTCAACGACTCCAGCGTCCATGACAATCCCTTTGACCACTAATCCACTTCGTGGTGCAATCTGGGCGTAAGTCCCGTGCAGAGCACGCATTGCTATGCCGGTGCCAACAATCTTACGACTTTGTGCCAGTATTTTAACGCTTTCAGCAGAGTAAAGATCGAGACCAGCGGCTTCTTCTGATCTATGTTTCGGGAGAATCCCACCCATTCGTTGTACCAACAGAGTGGTATCGCGTGTGAGCATATGAATGGGTCGTGTGAGTAGAGGGGGGATGCAAATAGTCATAGGCACAGGTTTATCCAGACGTCTAGCATGGAATTCTTGGAGGAGTTCCTGACAATTGGTCAGATTTGCTCGAGATTCCCAGGAACAGCGATTGCTGTGTAGACTGTTTTTCCATAGCACTTAATACTCTAGGTTCCCATTTCGATCGCGGCACGAATTGAGGATGTCTTCTACTTCCCATTCTTCATTCTTCATCTCCTTCTACAAGGTCGGGGACTTCAGGTGTGCGTTGTTGCGAAGGGTAAACAGATTCTTTGAAAGGACTTAGTAGGCTTTCGTTGAAAATGGGGTGTTGTTTCCATTGTCAGAGAAGTTCTAATTTGTAGGCAGATGTGCCGACTTTGCATTTGACCTTGAATGGTCCGTATTGCTTATCGTCGAGTTTCTTCATCGGCCTATCGGTCCGGATATTAATCCCTTCTAGCCAAACTTTGTCTTCAGCTTTGTACTCCAGTCTGATCTTTCTTTTCCTGTCATAGAAGCGCTTCATAGACTCTTGCGCTAGACTAATGGTGGCGCTAGTGTCTTCCTGTACCCGATGCATTCGATCAACAAATTGCTGGACATTCTCGCTTAGTCCTTCTCATACCGGTTGAGTTCCTTTGTAAGGATGATATCCTTTGTTGACGAAGAACGGGGTGTACCCAGTGGAAGAGTGAACTTTGTTATTATAGGAGAATGCTGCAAGAGGCAGCCATTTGACCCAGTTGGCTTGTCTGTAGTTGATGAATAATTGGAGATACTGTTCTATCTCACGATTGATACGTTCTGTTTGTCTGTTGGTTTGGGGATGATACGCAGTGGAAGGGTTGGCTCCGATCCCGAGTGATCGGTATAGTTCGGAGATGAACTGATTCTTGAATTCAGTTCCTCTGTCGCTGATGATCTTTCAGGGTAATCCATGGTGTGTGAGCACATGATCTCAAAGTGCTTTCTCCCATCCTTCAGCATTAAGCTCGATGGTACTTGGTATCGTAATTATCTGTTTGGAGTACATACAAACGACTACAAGGATGGCATTGTATCCAAATGAGTCTGGTAGTACATTTATTTTGTCCACAGATATTACCTCCCAGGGTCGCGAAGGGATTTCGTTCGGGAATAGAAGTCCGGTAGGTCGTGTCGTGTGAACCTTGGTCTTCTGGCACTTCTCACACCTGGCTACGTACTTCTGGATGTCTTCTCAAATTCTAGGCCACCAATAGTTGTGTGTGACCATTTCATGTGTTTTGTACTGGCCAAGGTGTCCGGCTAGTGGGGTATCGTGATGATGAGCAATAATCTGCTCTCGGAGTTTCCTATTTACTGGTACGTAGATACGGTTCTTCCATGTCACAAGTCCGGTACTATCTTCATTCCAGTTCTTGTCCTTGTTCTGTAAGGCTACGGTAACTAATGAATCCTGATTCTTTTTGTATTCCGCGACCCAGTCCTGATTGATTCCTTCTAAACTAAATACAGTACTACGGATCAGAGTACAAAAATGTTCTGGTTTCAGTAACATGATATCCAAATTGTCCTCCTTTCCCGCATTGTGTCATTTTTGACGAGATAATCCATCCGCTTTGCCATTAGATTTCCCGGGTTTGTGATGTAGCGAGTAGTGATACTCGGCTAGCTCGGTTACCCATCGGGCCTGACGCCAATTGAGCTTCTGTGGTTTCCGGAAGTATTCTAGGTTCTTGTGATCTGTCCATATTTCAAACAGATGACGGACGCCCATGAGGTATTGGCGCCACTCATCAAGACTAGTCATAATTGCAAGAAGTTCTTTATCGTAAATCTCGTAATTCCTTTCAGCCGCCGTCATAGCTTTGGATAGGTAGGCAACAGGCTTCCATTTGCCATCTTGCTTCTGGGTTAGTTCTGCTTCTATGGCAAAGTTCAAGGCGTCACATTCCACCCGATAGGGGTCGTTGTCATTGGGTATGGCCAGTACTGGCACAGAACAAAGAGCGTCTTTCAGGCTTGTGAATGCTACTTCTTGTTCGATGGTCCATTCAAAGGTAGCGTTGCCTGTTAAGGTACTAAGCAGTTTTGCTATTTTGCCATAATCTCAGATAAACCTTTGGTAGAAGTTGGTAAAGCCGAGGAACGCTTGAATGTCCCTTTTGCATTCAGGCCGAGGCCAATTGATGACTCCTTCTATCTTGACCAGATCCATGCGCACAACGCCCTTTTCCACTATCATTCCGAGGTATTTGACTTCCGTCTTCTCAAACTTGCATTTTTCCGGTTTCAAGTAAAGTTTGTGTTCCCTTAGAATCTGTAGAACCTGCCGCGTGATCTGATGGTGTTCTTTTAGATCTTGGGTGAAGATCATGATGTCGTCTAAGTATACTACTACTTGTCCTTGGCTGATGAGATCGTGGAATATGTCATTCATCATTGTTTGGAAAGTAGCTGGGGGGAGTTTGTGAGACCAAAGAACATGACTAATGGTTCGAATAGTCCTTGATTGGTAAGGAAAGCAGCTTTCTCTTCATCACCTTCTTTGATGCAGATGCTGTTATATCACCATCAGACGTCTAACTTCGTGAAGTATCGTGCCTGCTTTAGCTTGTCGATCAGCTTCTATATTAGGGGAAGTGGATATCGGTTCTTGATTGTAAGCACATTCAGCTTCCAATAATCTTGTACAGGCCGGAGACGTCCGTCCTTCTTTTTGACGAAGAAGAAGGGAGAGGCCCAAGGGGATTTAGAGGGCCGAATTCTTCTAGTTCTGAGGTTCTCTTCTATGAATTTGTTGAGTTCCTTCTGTTTGTTAACCGATATAGGATAAACTTTGCAGCTGATTGGTTGCGAGCCTGGTGTTAATTTGATGGCATGATCTCACAGTCTTCTTTGTGGCAGGGAGTCAAAATCTTCTTTGCTAAACACATCTGAGTAGTCGTGATAGTGACTTGGGACTGTATTCTCAAATGTTTTAGCCTCATGTTTCAGGCTTTCTTTTATTGCTAGGTCTGTGGCTGTAGTGCGTATACGCGCCGCTCCTGTAGTGAAGTATGTCTTGTAGTCTAAAACGAAGATTCTATCTCCCTCTTCAAAGTGAGCCTTCGGATCGCTGGGTTCTTCCTCATCATCTTCGATATCCATCATTCTGGTGGTATATCGGCAAGCAATCGGGCAACGATCAAACTTAATAACCTGTTCCTGCCAGTCGATAGATGGGTTATGAATTTGAAGCCATTCATATCCAAGGAATATGGGCGTCTTTCCCAGGTTGGTAACAGCAAATGGTAGCCGTTCCACATGATCCTGGATTTCTACCCTTAATTCAACGAAATCCATAATTGCTCCGCCAGCATTGTGTGTTCCATCAGCATTGTAGACTGGGATCAGTGATGGCAGTTTCTTGGTAGTGATGTTATTGCGGACAAACTGCGCATCAATAGATGAGCCTGTACATTACGTGTCTAGCAGCGCTTTAACCGATAAGCGCTGCTGGGTGTCTAATGTAGTGACGATCATGGGGACATCCATCTGCATCCCTTTTCTTCCTCGAATGAAGCAAGGTGATATCTGTAATTCATTCAGAAAGTCTATTGCTTCCTCTTCTTTCATTCGCCTGATCTGTTCTATACAGGCTTCTGAGGCATCGACACTCTTCTTTGAGTGTACCCATTCAGCCAGCAATCTAAGTGCTGCTTTGTCTTTGCTAACTATCCATTGGTGGATCCATGCCGCTGTTCAAGGGGTGTGGCGTTGCCACTGCGTAGGTTTGGTCTGATGTTCTGGAGTAGATAATTTTTTATTCAGGGGAATTAAGCAAGAGAATTGAGCCTCTCCACGCTGCTCTGCGGACGCCCCTTTTTCTGGTATATACATAGGTACTCCAAACCAGGAACACAAATAGTTCGTAAAATTATGTTTGGTCAACTCGGCTACGCGCCCAGCTGACCGCTTGCAAAACCCTTCATAACTGCGCGAATCTCTTCGCGAATCGCTGTCTTCCAATCAAACAGTTCTGCCATTGCGGCAAGTGCTTCTGTGAGAGGTACAAGTGGTGTGAAGCTATTGGATACGGGGATCTCTGATGTTTCTGCGGCCCTTACTTGCTGGGCTTGTTGCCTATTAGGGCAATTTCGTGAAAGATGGCCCTTCTGGCCGCATCGGAAACAGAGACCGAGGTGTCGTGCTTGGTCTAGTTCCATTGGCTGTCTTCTTCCGCCAAATGTGACACCGGTACCATCACGCCACATCTGAACTGGTGCAGTGGTGGTTGTGGGTGCGACTACGTTAGTCTGCGCTCTTGGTGTATTCTGCGCCTGTTGCTGTCGAGGCTGAAATTGCCCCTGTTGCTGGAATTGTGGAGTTTGTCTATGGTACTGCTGCTGGTTTAGGTTGATGCACGCGACCTGTTGCTTGTAGAGCGCGTAGGTAGTCGGGAGTTCTTCCAACGAGTTGTACAGAAGCCGAATGATATCGGCCTGTAGCACTTTTTCTAGAAGCAACTTGAGTTCTTGGAAGTGTGCCTCAAAGTCGTTGATTTCTGCCTGGAAGGCGCATAACTCAAACTTGGAAAAGAATTCTTGGGCGGTCAGCGTGCCCATCTGCATTGCTCGCAGTCGCTCATACACTTCGGCCTGTTCATCGATCAGGAAATGTCTATCGAGATTGGTCCAGAGTGCATTGGTCTCCTGGATCACGGTACTTTCATCTGTGTTGTACTTTTTCATGTATGTGGCAACATATTCACCCGCGTGTCCTCCCTTCATGTAGGACAGAATCATAAGGACTCTGTCAAACTGCTCTGGCAGCCGCTTTCTCTGCATGACTACATAGAGTTTCATCTGGGTTTTCCAAGCAATGTACTTGGACTTGGTGCCATCAAAGGCGTCTGGTTTCATCGCACTTCCATTGAGGAGCGTAGCACTGTCTTAGTTTTTGGTCATCGCGCCAGAATCAGATGGAGATGAGGGTGGAGTGGGAGAACGGCAAGAGGGCAGGTTCGATGATTTGGAATCTTCTACGGCTTCTTCCACAGGGTCTGGTGGTCCTTCTGGTGGTACTTTGGATTCTCTGAGGGCAATTGATCGGAGATGCTCAGTGACTGAATCGAGGGTGTCACGTCTTTCTCTGGGTTCCGAGCCAGACGCTATTGGTTGAGGAACAGCGAGGGATTCCGAAGGTTCTCCTGTGGAAACTCTGTCTAGTAGTTCTCCGCGTAATCCTTCTTCACACCATGGGCAACGAGTACTATTTTGCAGGGAGTGTGGGCACGGCTGTTGCACACAGTATCGTACGATATCGCCGCGTTTGTAGATGAATCTCCCTTCTAGTACCCGATGTGTGTATTCTCTGCAATCACAAGAGGGCGTGGTCATGTGTCAATGGGTCTGTGAGGCTGATTGCAGCAAACCCTGGGACCAATCGTGTTGTAACAACCAGATCAGGGGTAGAAGTTGCCAAAGATGGGAATTTCCGACAAAGAACCAAAATGCTAATCATAATACAGATTTAAAGATACTACAGCAGCCCAAAGAGCGATTATGTCTCTTCGGTCCGACACCCGGAAAGGGATCGTCAATCTAACTGCTGTCACTTTTCCGACGCCTGGCCGCAACCAGTTGCCACGTTGTACTCAGGAATATCTGCTTGCCTGCTGCAAAGCATGTAACGCCGCCTATAGTAGGGCAGGGTACAATTCTACTAATTGGACGGAGCTCTGTCTAGCTGCCTAAGGGCTAGTGATTACAGAGGTGACTTCAGGGGTATGGGATGATAAAAACGTGCAAGTGCACGGAGAAGGGTTCCAGGGGTTTTGATGCGGTAGAATTCTATAGGGTTAGGATTGGGGTGAGATTTCGAACAGACAGGTATGGGAGATCGTCATGTGGAGATGGATGATGGTTGGTGTGGGAGTGACGAGGATCATCGTAGGGCAGTTGGTGGAGACTCGAGCTAATGTCAGGAACCTACAATTCAACTGGACTGGGCTATAACAAGAGTGAGGAGACAGACGAGAGGAAAGTGGGTGAGTAAAGACCAGCTTGAGTCTGGCTTGTTATTGAGCAGTACGAGCTCCTTATATACATGCCAGACTGAATATCTAGAATATCCTACAAATATACAGAGGTGTATAGAAAATGAGAGAATACTATAGAATCTGGGAGAACCATCTGGAATATGTAATATTCATGACACGTCCCTTAGTTTCATCTACAGCGCAATGTGTCTCGTCGTTGAGGTTGGGCCTGCAGGGTCGAGGGCGACTCTGGGCTGATATAGTGATAGCCAGGAAAACCAAGATGCCGATGGTAACGTTATCACTACGCATACTGCGTACCAGTCTTACTCAAGTGATAAGTTTTGTACGGTTTGATTTGACAATGAACTCGAATTATTTCCTCAAATACATGGGTAGCTCAGGTTTGCAGAGAGATGATATTTACAGACGACCCGATATCTATCATGCCACGCTCCCATCTGGCTTAGGCATTAGACGAACAAAACTTAGGGCTAGTAGTCCATGCATTCCTCGAACTATTGCGAAGCAAAGGCGCGCCCGCTAGCGCTTGAAAAATTCTAGACGCTGGCACGGGCGGATGTGATCACTTTGACGCCTCTGCGCTCTTGCTACCACCTCCTCCTTCTGGCCTTGCTGCTGCTTCGTGGCATCTCGTCTTCTTCTAACTCCTATGCTTACGGAGCGCATGTTGATGGTCAACTTGAAGTCGCCGGGCTCGAGGCTCGAAACTTGGCCGAGTGTGCTGGTGAGGCTGCACATGTCTCTGTCCACGACGCGGACCGCCTTGGTGCCAACTCGCTCCTTGACATCGTCGTCGTCGGCCATGTTTGCACTCGCCACATCAAGGAAACTTTGACTGGATAAGCCTCACAAGAGGATTTTCGACGAGACTAGAATGCCGATGACCCTACCCTGCCTCTGCTGCCAATTTCCGTCTTGACATGCAGGCGGCTATGCACACTGACGCTGCTGTCTTCCGGTGCGTACATAGCGGGCGGCTGGTATGCGCGCATTTGCTAACAGTATACATAGGTCTTTGGACGAGAGTCACCAGAAGGTCTCTCAATCTTCAAGAGCTACGACCAAATCGGCATTTAGGACAAGACCGCTATGAGCTGGAACTCTGATTTCATTGAAACTCTTGAGCTCCGCAACCTCTTTCATGGCGCAGTCCAGTCCATCACTGCTGTTGCCGCCTGCAAGGAGCTTATGGTGCCCACGCTCGTGAGGACTTCACTGGGGTATGCGGAAGACTATTCTCAGCGTCTGTGCACACCCTCACATCGTTTCCCAACAGCATGACGACGGGAGCTGGGCGAAACACGCACTCATCTGCAGCACAATCCCTCGACACCTGAGGTCGACAATCAAGTGCCGTTGCATATACAAGACCCTCGACGAGAACGAGCGCCAGCTTGTACCGCTATTCAAGCGTGTCTACTAGATATGCCGTATACACCCTGTCACATCCTCTACACTTCTCCCCTTTTTTCGTTTTAGTACCATCGCGTGCCTCTGGAGTCTGCGGTACGCACGGCACTGAAGATAACGGACCCTGTACATACCTTGAGGCTCAGAACAAGATGTAGCGGAAAGTGGTTATCATAGTGTCGGGGAAAAAGTTCGTCTCATATCCCAATGATCAGATATCATGTTTATACACAGTTTGTTCCGGGTTTCACTCACCTTGCGGGAGTTGTAGAGTGTTCATTATAAGAGGCCAACTTCTCAGGATAACGTTTGTGAGCTATGTAAGCGGATGTCGTCTTCCGTCATGGGGTATGCCCACGCGGCGGTCACACGGCCTGGTGAGAAGGGCTGACGGGTATATATCCCACGTCTCGCGCGTACACCTTAAGCATGACCCTGTGCTCGACCTCAAGCTTGCGGTACCATGGCCTATTTCCTCGAGAATGCACTGAAGAATGCCCAGATACCGGGATTCACGCTAATTTGTGTGCTGTTACTTATTAGCGTGGCGTCTCGCTTTGTGCAGAGCGCGAAGAAGGCTGTCCCACTTCCACCAGGCCCTGACGAAAGCTGGTTTGAACCTGGGCCGAAGTGAGTGGTCTTGCTTCCAAGTTGCTCTGTGATAGATTAACCGTTGATGAGGTACTAAGGGCGCCTATGAAATATGCGGAGATGGCGAAGACATATGGTCCCGTGTTCTCGTACAAGCGAGGTAACCAGGTCGTGTGCATTATCAACAGCTACAAGGCCAGTCGCTTCGTGTTACCTTTACCTCAATTTCTCACGGAGTGTGGAGACAGGATGCGGTAGAGATCATGCAGAAGCATGGCGCGGACCTCGCTGGCCGCCCTGAGCACATTGCTGCCGACTTTCTCTCAGGCGGCATGGGCGCGTTGCTCGTTGATGCAGGGGAGAGGCTGAGGAGGCTGAGGAGGTGCGAGCTTCTCTGATGATTCGTCAACTAGAAACTTCTGACGATCGAGTTTATACAGAGCGCTGCACTCACATCTGCAGCCTACAGCCGCCGTGCAGCACAAACCTATCCAATTCAAGTGCGCGCTGGATCTCATCCTGGATGCCCTCCACGACCCCGAGGACCACATTAATCACACAAAACGGTATGCCCAAGTCTCGCGGCCCTCTTCGCAACGCCGCTCAGCTGACACTACGCAGCTTCGCCGCGAGCCTGATCCTGACGATGACGTACGGCAAGACGACGCCGACGAAGTACAGCGACCCCGAAGCAGTGGAGATCAATGTGCACACGACGCGCCTCGGAAAAGTCGTGCCCGCGGGTCAGCACATCGTGGAC